AGAGAGAGAGAGAGAGAGAGAGAGAGAGAGAGAGAGAGAGAGAGGGGGAGAGAGAGAGAGCTCTGTTCACGACTTGCCCGTGTTGTAGATGATCTGAGTGCGATGCGGAAGAGCGTCTGTCCACAGCTCTGCCGTCGGTCGCATCATCATCACAAACCCGCCCCTCCCCTGCAAGCACAGCCGTCAGTGCCGCCATCATGTATGAATATGCGCTCATCGTACGAGATAACAACATGCTCTCTGATCATGTACACGAGCATACGTTTCTATATACACGTTCACCATCGTATTGCTCCTTCCCCCCGCCTACTCTCCCTCCTCTTCCCCCTCCTCCTCCTCCGTGACAGCAGCGAACACATCATCGTTGGATCATTATAGTCCAACAAGAGAACGTGGCATCACCTTGCTGTAAACTTTCGATCCATACTTCGTGCTTATGAGCTCGTCGTGTGGAAAACTGCACAACGTTAAATCCATCATCTCCACTTGCGACTCCATGGTCGTCGTCATCAGCATCTCCATCATCTCCATCGTCGTCATCGTCGTCGTCGTCCTCCTCCTCCTCATCATCATCATCATGATCTCCTCCTCCTCCTTCTGCCTCTTCTCCTCCTCCTCCTTCTACTTCTCCTTCTCCTCCTCCTCCTCGTCCTCCTCCTCCACCACCACCAAAATAATCATCATGAACAACTGCAACAACAATTCCAATAACATCACCACTTTGAACATTCTCACCTTCCATGTTTTGTGTTCAGAACTTTCCCACTCTCAAGGTACACAGGCTGAAGATTTCCATTCCCCTGGCTCTAACTGTTACTTTCACACCCTCCTCCTCCCTTCTCCTCCTTGCTCCTCCCACTCTATACCCCTTGCCTTCATCCTCTTTCCTCTTTCCTCCTTCCTCCTTCCTCCTTCCTCCCTCTTCCTTCCTCTCCCTATCTCATTCCCCCCTCTCTCCCCCTCCCCCTCCCCCATTCTCCTCCGGCCTTATCCCCATCTTCGTTCCCCAGCTCCAACCCCTTCTCTCACGCTTCCCCACAAGTTACCGTGTACAAGATCACAAGGTCGCCGCTCTCAGGAAACTCCGTCGCTCCATTCCGCCTCTCCTCTCTCCCGCTGCGACAGCCTGTGTGCAACATGCTGCTATCGCATGTCACATAAAAGGTCACGTGAGCAAAGACCCTATCATTCCATATCATCCCATCCCATTTTCGTCCTCCTCCTCCAGCCTCCAGCCTCCAGCCTCCAGTCTCCTGCCTCCTCTCCTGTCTCCAGTCTCCTGCCTCCTCTCCTGTCTCCTCTCATGCCTCCTGCCTCCTCTCCTTCCTCCTCCTCCTCCTCCTCTCCTTCCTCCTCCTGCCTCCTGCCTCCTGCCTCCTGCCTCCTGCCTCCTGCCTCCTGCCTCCTGCCTCCTGCCTCCTCCTGCATCCTGCCTCGTGCCTGCTCATCTACTTGGTACAAAAGAGAGAGGGAGGGAGGAGGGAGGGGGAGGAGAAAGAGTGAGTGAAGCGAGAAATAGGGCGTGGGCAGGAGGAGGGGAGGGGGAAGGGGGGGGGGGGAGGGGG